AAAATATATAAAAATATGTAGAGATATAGGTGAAGTCATCTAAATCAATTTGTTCCGAGCATTTATCAACGACATCTCCATTGGATATTATCAACACAACATTTTATAATTTTCAAAAAGTGACATATCCATATTAAAGTATAAGAGAATATTGTAGGAGATGAATCCACTTACTTCAATAGTAAGTGAAAAAGATATACTCCACATCTTAGTCATCCAATTTTGGAAGATCCAATGGTTTAGATTATTCACCAATTCAAACCATTGAATTTTCTAAGAATGAATAATCATGACGTGGAGTATGTTTTTTCTACTTACTCTTAGAATAATTGGATATATCCCCATATTGTAGTATATGAAAGTGGATTAAGATCTCCTATACTTATGACGTATCAGACCAATTAAAATCTATTATTTATTAGAAAAAATCAAGAACTAATATTTTATACAATTATATCGGATATCGATAAGAAAAGGTAGGAAAAGAAAAAGTGAGGCATGAATGGTATAAGCCCAGCGCCATTAGTAGTGAAGAAACGCATCTAATTCTAACTATTTGCGCCTCTCACATTCTCAACAAAACAAAACCCTTTTCTCTCTTCCTTTCTCTGTTCTCATAATCGTTAAATGGAAGCACTGTTATCATCATCATCATCATCATCTTCATCAATATGTGGTTTCTTATTGAACCCAACACCACATTCAATTCTTTCTTCTTCTTCCAATACCAATAACATCTCATTCCCTTTTTACCCTTCCTTCACCAATATCTCACTTCGTCTCTCACCTTTCACAACTCATAATAATAATAATAATAATAATGATAACCCTGATTTCTCTTTTCTTCCTCATGAGAATTTAATCATTGATAAAGACACAGTGGTGGATGCGGCAATATCACAAACAGGTAGTGTGTTAGGTGGAGGAGGAAGCAGGGCTGGACTATTTAGAACACCAATTTCAGGTGGTGTTCAAAGTGCTACCTCTGCTCATGGTTTACCTAAACCTGCTTTAGCTGTTCGTAATTTGATGGAACAAGCTAGATTTGCTCATTTATGTACTGTCATGTCTCGAATGCATCATCGGCGTCAAGGGTATCCATTTGGTTCTCTTGTCGATTTTGCTCCTGATCCGATGGGTCGTAAGTGTTTCGTATTTTCTATTTCCCTTCATCAATAATAAGTGACTCGTGTTTGTGATTATATAAATGAGTGTGTTATGTTTTTGCTTTCAAGATCCGATATTTTCATTTTCTCCGCTTGCAATTCACACTAGGAACTTATTGGCTGACCCTAGGTGCACGCTTGTTGTTCAGGTTTGTAATTTAGTATTTGCTATATTGGAGTTTTTTATGTTTCTGGTTCTTGTTTTTTTACTCACAGTTAGTTAGTTTTGTTAGATACCTGGATGGAGTGGCTTGTCCAATGCAAGGGTCACTATTTTTGGAGATGTGTATCCACTCTCAGAAGATCAACAGGTTTTTTCTTTACTTACTAACTAATTTAGACCGTGTTTCGTTAACATCATTTCTCAAAATAAATGCTTCTATTTTGTAAGAAGAGAGTGGAGAGAAGCTAGAATCACTTATCTAAGTTGTAACAAAACACAAAATTGTTTCTATGTTTCTGGAAAATTGCTTTTTTTCTTTCGTTCCGCTAAGCCTAAACATAAAAGCTCTTAGTGAGTCCCTTGGGCCAGAAATTGTGTAATTGTTTGTACCTGTATTCATATATTGATTCAGTTTTTGCTTGCACATGAATGATGATTGATATCTGTTTGTACTATAACAGGAATGGGCTCATAAGCAGTACATTGCAAAACACCATCAGGGTCCTTCTCAACAGTGGGGCAATTTCTACTATTTTAGGATGCAGAATATAAGGTTGGCTACTTTCTACTCACATTATTATACCACATAGATGAAGCTGATTGTGTTGAAAAAAAATCATCTTTCATTTCATGCAAACCCGTTTTTCATATTTTTGGGGCATTCTACCTGGACATGGTTTATTATTGTCAATATCTGTCAAAGTGCCCATGCTAGACTTTAACTAGAGAAATTACTTTTATGTTAAATTAACAGATCATAGTTTTCTTCCTCTTTTTATCAAAAACTTATGAAGGTCCTTTTGTTTTTTTAGAGTTGCCTGCCATAAAAAAGTTTCCTTAACAAGTAATAGAATTAGAAGTTAAATTGGTTGTCTGAAGATTCAACTCAATTTAGTCCTCCGATGAAAAGTGTCACTGAATAAGTCCCTGGAAGTTTAAAAATGCCATCCCATTGGTCCTTCTAGGGACTTATGTAGAGGCAATTTCTTGGACTTAACCTTTCACTACGTTGTGACAGTTTAAACTTTTAGGGACTTATTTTGTGACATTATTTCTTTTGAGGACCAAATTTGTGGCACTTGTTATTTTGGAGGACTATTTTGATGTGAATTCTTTTTTGGCTCCATTATTACCAACTTTCATACTTTATTTAATCAGTACTTCCTCATTGCAGTGATATCTATTTCATTGGTGGCTTTGGTACTGTGGCATGGGTGGATGTAAAGGAATATGAAACCATTCAACCTGATAAGATTGCAGTAGATGGTGGTGAGCAGAATCTAAAGGTAATTTTTTCTTAATTCTCACCCAGGGAACCAAAGGAAACAACTTTAACTTTTTTAGGCAAAACTAAATATTTTTTTTTATCTCTCCCTCTTTTCCCCCAATTAGAAGAATTTTATAGGATTGGTTTGGAAGGGACATTGTAAATTTTTAGGCCTAGTAGCTGAATGCATGCATAACTAAGTAGCACGCTTGGGTATTTTGCTGAGGATGAAGCCACATAGAGTCGTGCCTTTGAAATAAACTCTAATTCTTGTTCCAGTGCCCGGTCATTTGGGATTATTTCTCAACAAAATTACATTTTCCTCATAAAAAACTAACTTGGCAAACCATATGCTTGGGTAAGATTTTTTTCAATGATCAGGAAAAAAATTGTGGGTACTTTTCTGATTAGCGTGTGTAGCTTTTCAAGTAAAAAATGATTTTTTTTAACCAAACACTACTAACTTCTGTTTTACATTAAAATACATAAAAAATAAGTCACCCTTTTACAATCTAAAAGTCACATTTTAAGCTTAAACAAATGGACCCTAAGAGTTGTATTACTTCATTGCTTTGAAACCACAGGAGCTAAATGCCATCTTCTCAAAGCCCTTAAAGAAGCTCTTATCTACTGAGATTGAGGTTGATGATGCAGCACTGATATCTATAGATAGCAAAGGAACTGATGTTAGGGTCCGTCAAGGTGCCCAGGTAAGCTTCTTTTACTACAGCTAGATTGGATTTTTAATAGGTCAAATTATACCTTTGGCCCTACACATGTGGCTCATTTTAAACTAAACTTGGTCCTTATCTGTTACAAATTTCAATCTAGTCTTTATATATACAATATTTTCAGTTTCAATGTAACTTGTCAGAAGACAATTCTTGAAGTTAAAATATAGGGGCTAAATTTAAAATGACTGCCACAAGTAGGACCAAACATATACTTTATTGTTCCTTATACATGATAACCATACTATGATCCTTATGCAGGACAATCATTTTCAATTTGGTTCTTATACACTAACACCAAATGATTGAAAATGATTATCATGTATATAGGGATGAAAACTAGAGTTTAATCTTTTTAATATTTACAACTGATATGAATGATTGAATTTGTGTGCAGTTCAATATTCAGAGGATATCATTTGATGAAGGGCATAGTGTAGAAACATTAGAAGAAGCTAAAGATGCTCTTTGGAAAATAATAGAGAAAGGAAAAGTTTACAACTTGCAGAAATAAGTTTGAATGTGTTTAATATTATTATCCTCTTCCCTTTGACAAGAGGGAGTTTATAATCTTTGACTTGATGTCATGTTTTTTTTCCTAGCTGGCAAAATGTAAACTCTTTAGGATATTTATTTAAGGTTTTAATCTTGGGACAAAAACTCATAAGTAGAACTATAATAATATTTTTATTTTAAAAGAAATGATAGTATGAAGTCTTTGCATGATTTGTCTTTATACCCAATACCTGCTTGAACTGTAACTTTAAAGACGTGGATCTGCTGCTAAAGAAAGTATTAAGCTCTAAATATATAATTTTCAATTTTTTTGCTTAAATATGTTTTCCCCCTTAAAATATATTATTTGGCTCTTATATTGAGAATACCATGCCAATTTCATATTTCATAATATATGACTTTAAATTGATGTGACCAATGTTTCCTCTAGTATTCACTTTGACCCAAGTATGAGATGAAATCTCTATTAGAAAAGTGCAGCCATCCATGCTTTAGCTTTTTATACCTCAAAATTATCATATATCATACAAAGACTTGTGTGCATACATATGTGTAGAGATAATCAATTAAACATTGATAACATAAAAAAATATAAATACATTTGTCTCTAAATATGACGTGTTGAAATGTCTCTATATAAGTTTTTGTGTAAATAACATTATGCAAGAAGGTCTTTCTGATTAGGAGCATGACATGACTTGAGTGAGATATTGGGGTTTTAGAAAGGCAAAGTGTGGGTTTGAAAATAATGGAGAAGAAGATGACATGGTGCTATTTTCCTTCTTCTGGCAATAGATACAATCCATGACTTTGGTTCCACTTGTGTTGATGCACAAGTATCACCTTCGAATCTCATGGATGATGTTATAGAAGCAAGTTTATCAACTAGATTCTGTTTGTTGTCATAGATTGTCTCAGACACATGGATTTTCCTAGATGCTACACTCTCGCACTCTCTTCACTTTGTTTTGAATGAATTATGTCTTGGTTTGCCCCCTAAATGTATTTAGACCATGAAAACTTTGCAGATATCAAATAATATTTACTCACTCCATCTTTATTTGATAACATAAAAGGACTGCTAATACTTTGGCTCAAGAATAATGTTGTCAATGCCCATAATGAAATGTTGGTAGACAAATTAGTAGTGAAGGATTATACGTTAGTGGTCTAGTGGTAGAATAGTACCCTGCCATGGTACAGACCCGGGTTCGATTCCCGGCTGGTTCAGTAATATAGCTGTGATGATATTTGTTCTATATGTGATGACTGGGGTCTATCACCAATGTCTTCTACATGAATAATAGTGCACCTGATCTCTACTTTTTTTTTTATATACATGTACAGGGGAGACCAAAATCAATGAAGTAGCACTTGTGTTGTGTCAATAAAGTTTATAGTGAAATTGGTCAATACTATATGACACAAATAATTTTTTAAGAGTTCAAATTTGTATTGAAAGGATCTTAATTGGAAATCGATACTTCCATAATGGCCGAGTCTATGCTAGACGAATATAGTGCACATGAGCTCTACTATTTTTGTGTTGAAAGGATCTTAATTGAACATGTATATTCTGATTATGGTTGTGGAGACATCACATCATGAGCTCTACTATTTGTTATTGGTTCTACTATCACCTTTATATTTTTAGGTTCCACACCCATTTTTTGGAGAACTATATAGCTTATATGAGCTTACTAGGATTTTGTTTGGCATTTCAAGCATGATTCCATATATGATTAATGGTTTATATTAAAATATAAATAAATACCACATAACAATTATAACAAAAGTCTTATTTTTATTTTATTTTACTGGAAATTTCTTTCACTGATTTCTTCTTGCCTCATGGCATTCCACTCCAGATGAACAAGGATCTGTTGTCTCAACAACCGACATTATTGTAATGTTTATAACTTTCTTGGGTTGATAGTGACTAGCAAGGGATTGAGCTTGTGTGTGGTAAGACCAACAGTATCCACACTCTCTTCATCTCCCCTTTCAATGAGTTTCCACTCAAATTCTTGAACCATTCTTCCAATTGCTGTGGATGCTATCAACATTGCTTGAAGAGAACCTGCACATACCCTTTTTCCTGCTCCAAATGCCATTGTCTTGTACAAATCCATTGGGTCATATTTCTCATCAAGAAACCTCTCTGGCAACCATTGCTCTGGATTTTCCCACTCCTTCTTGTCCCTATTGCATCCATATATGTTTATTGCAATCTGTGTTTTAACATCACCTTCTAAATAATGGCTTTCCAATCATATACAAAGCAATATATTGTTATAAACTTAGACCAGATAGACAATTGAAAAAAGGTTATGCAGAAATGGTACACGAGACTCACACTTAGTAGAAATGGTACATGTATGCAGCTATGGATGGCAATATGGGTTTGCCCGATGGTCCAGTCCGTTTGGATTGTCATTTTTAGTGGGTTGAACTGAAGATTTTAGCCTAAAAGTTTCTATTCAACCCAGTTTGAAAGCCCATTTTTTAGACGGGCCATGGCGGGCCGGACTGACCGGGCAAGCCCGACAGGCCAACATTAAAACAATTAAGCTATTTAGCAAGATTGATACTAAGATGGTTAATTGATAAAAGATGAATGAAATAAAAAAGGTACCTGGCTTCCAGCTGGAATATGATAGCCTCCAATTTCAGTATCTTCTTGAGCACTTCTTAATGGAACTATTGGAGCTGGACTATGCTTCCTTAAAGTTTCATGAAATATAGCTCCTAAGTATGGTATCTTAGATATGTAGTCTTCACTAAACTTTTCATCTCCACACACATTCTTTATATCATTATAAAGCCGTTCCTGTAATACAAAGGACAAAAAAGTGAGTTATTGTGCAACTAAGAATAGGAGAAATAAATGAAAACATTAGATTCATTGTTCTAAATTGTTGTTGTGGTTGCGTCTATTGCGATTCGGATTACGACACTTGCAGTGTGAATTATTTTGCTATTAAAAAACTGCTTTTGAATTTTATGCGTCCTGATGCGGTCCAATTTGGTTTTATTGTGGCCTGATACGACCAAATCAGTGTGATTCGATGTCACCGCAATATTGTGATGGTATCACGTGATGTGGTCCACAATTTGATCAGCAAAACAACCAACCTGACGAGTTTTGTCTTTGGAAAGTTCATACATAGCCCATTCTGTTGTAACTAATGTAGTATCTGATGTCTCAATAATTGCCTCCCAAATAAGCATGGAAAGTTGTTCTTCTGTTAATTCTTTTGCTTCAGATAAAAGGTGGTCTACGTAAGAGTTTAGTTCCTGTCACACATAAATAAATCAAATTAAAACTTAGAATCAAATTGATTATTCAGCTAAAACAATGTTACAAATGATCTTGGAATTTCTGTTACACATTAACTATTTATATCGAATTACATTAGGATTCCGATTCATGGATCTCGAGAAATCAAAGTAAGAGAATCGAACTACATCTTTTGCAATTATGACCAAGAAATTCATACCTTTCCTGAAGCTATTCGCTTCTTTTGCTCATCAATCAAAGCATTCATCACAGCTTGTCTACGTTCACACAATTTCTGAATTTTCGCCTCAAAATTAGTATTAGGCACCCATTTCAAGTAAGGAAAGAAATCTCTCCAATCAACCTCAAGTGCACCTTCCATCAAATCAAGCACTAGAATCCTATATATCTCTTCATTCAACAAAGTACTCCCAAGTTCCTTCACATAAATGGATTCAATATTGGTCCCTAGAACCTACAAAAAAGTGCAAAATACCACATTTTTAGTCTTATTCTATGATCATAAATATGTGTATTGATAATAAGTATTCTATGATCATAAATATGTGTATTGATAATAAGTAATAATAACTTAAGAAGGGACTTACTTCCTTTAGTGATAATCCAAATAGTTCAGATGCAAATATTTTTCTAAAATTAATTGGCAAATCAGTGGAAGCCTTCACAGATTCATTAAGTTCATTTGAAATGTTTTCCATCATAGCTTCTCTATGAACACGATGCCGCTTCTGTATAGTATTGAAAAAAACAACAAAAAATAGACTTCAGACCAATGTTGTGAAACCCGAGCCGGACGTCAAACCGGAAGATGGCTCATATAGGTGACCGGACGATATTATAATATCATAAATAATTATATATACACATATATTATATAATTAATTAAAATAAGTGAATAACTTACTTATCATATATTATGTTTTGCATACACATAAATCAAAATAAAAGTGCATCAACCAAGTTTAAGTCTAACATAATTAGAATAATAAATCAAAACACAACTATCTCATATAGAGATTAAACATTCTAATTCATCCAAGTATCATTGTGTTCAATGCGCACCCCACCATACAAACATCCATCATTTCCTCACATCGAAAGATAATAATAAAAAAAATATTTAATTATGAAATAATATTATATAAATTATGAAGGAATATTATATAAATTATAAAGTAATATATATTCAAGTATTTCATAGGTCATACATGGTAACAAAAAGACATAACTTCATAACAAAAAAATAAAATAACTACAAAAAAAGATGGTTTTAGTGTTTTACAGCCACTGCTCATATTTTAATAAGTTATGGGGCTAAAAAAGAAAGTGGGCTTAAAAATTGGGTTAAAAGCCCATGAGATCCTTTTTTTATAAATAGAATTTTAGGGTTTCAACAAACCGGGTCGTACATGACCCGGTCACCCTTCTTCTCTACCCATGACGGCGCTGAACTTGAATGTTTGGCTGCTGAAGTTGTTGGTCGTGCAGCCATTGAGAGAGAGAGGACGTGAAGCAGAGAGTGAGAGAGAGGAAGTAATACAAAACTGAATCACGTTTCTACTCTCTACTCTCTATTGCCTGACTTTTCTTTTTCTTTTTAGTTTGAGCAACCCGGCCGGTTTAACCAACCGGGTTATTCCGGTTTTACCCGGTCTAACACTGTTGGACCGGATTTTCCACGGGCCAAAACGGCTGGGAAGAGTTTTCGGTTTTCCAGATACACGAGACCGTTTATATAGGCGGTTGAACCGGTTGGACCGGCCGGTCCGGTCCGGTTATAACATCCTTGCATCAGAGGAATCTTAATACCCAAATCATATAAAAGAAAAGGCTTTTTCGACTTAAATCATTAAGTTAAAATATGTTTGCGACTGCAATCGCGGTAACGATTTTGTAGTTTTAGTAGTGGGCACCCCGAATTCACGATTGTAATTGTGGTCACATTTTTCGATTTACAATTGCAGTACACAATTTAAAACATTGGTATATAGGTAAGAATAAAGTTATTGTAAGGAACCTGTGCATTGGCTCCTAGAACATTTCCAAGAATGTGTTTTTTGACTTTTCTGTGAAACTCATTGTAGTCACTCATAGCAACCATACATTTGTCAAAAGTGAGAATCTTGAGTGCATTAGATAGCTGCCTTGTAGAAATGGATGAGTATCTTGTAACCATAGCCTGAAATAATCATAAAAGGTTATAATCCAATTAATGGCGTTGATAACTCTTAAGGTTCCATCTCAAGACCAACAAATATATGAACATTAATTTGGGTTGATTTATATATACCTCTTTGGCGAGTTGGGCAGAGTTGAGAACAATGACAGTGGAAGAACCAGTTTTGATGGAATAAATGGGACCATATTTCTCAGCAAACTCTATGAATGTTTTGTATGGTTTCTTTTCCTTCAATTGCAAAAGGTTCCCTATCACTGGTAGCCCTGGAACCACTGCAACATTTTCACCAAATATAATATCATTTCTTAATTATACTTATATCTTACAATCATATATTAAATTATACTTATAACCATTACAATTACAAAAATATATATATATATATATATATACCTGGTACTGAGGGAAGTTGGGAAGATAATCCTCGTTTGATCTTGAAAAAGAGGAACAAAAGTAAAGGCAAACCACCCAACACTGCAGACATGATTAAAGGTTGTGTCTGAACTACTTCAAGGATGCCATTGAGGATGTCCATTGTTATTTTACAACCTACCACAAAACCCAAGTACACAAAAACAAGGTATAAGATTATATATATATATATATATACAATTATATATATATATATCCACATATTATTTTTTATAAAATTCATTTACTATGCATTAATAATTGTGTTAATATATTCCTTTTATGATATAATAATAATAATAATGTATTAATGATTGTGCTAATATCTTTAGTTTATAATATACAAGAAGAAAGATATTCAAAGTTTAAAAAACTTACTCCACATTTTACCATTAATTCTAGTGAAATATAATCGTTTGAATTGACGAT